AGCTTGAAATATTATTGTTATTATTCAAAACTTTTTAAAAGCAGTACCATTATGAGCAATATAAACTACTAAAAGCGCCGTTTACAACTTTCATCTTGACTAAAAATCATTATTACAAAATGGGTTATTATATATAACGTTCCAGAAACTTTTAAATTAATTATAAATAGCACTTACGCAGAAGGATCTTATTACACATAGACGTAAGCGTAGTTTATTAATTAATAATTTACATAATAATATATTAACAGTTTTAATTTGCTTTCCCACCAACCACCTCAACTAGAAAATAATTTCGTCGTCTGTTTCGAAATGTGTTATTAGTACATAATATAATAATAAAATTGTGTGATACAAAATGTGTACATATATTCTTATATTATATCACGATTTAACTGTTATTTTTAAATGTATTTTTTTGTAGTGATTGAAAAACATTTATTTAACAATTATTTCTTCTCTGAAACTAAGTCGTCTATATAATTATAAAATTTATAAGAATTTAAACAAAAATGGTTTTAATCATTGTTAGATAAAAAATAGACCAAGCTCTACAAAAATAATAAAATACTTAAATTGTATAGTACAAAGATAGTCCATAATGAAAGACACCAAAATTTAAAATATCCATTCAAAAGAAAAAAAATCAGATACTAAAATAACTAAAAAAAAAAAAAAATAGTTTATAAATTGAAACTATAAGGTTAAATTTTTTTATTAATAAATTTTAATGTTTTTAAATAAGTTAAATTACTGTGTTGTTACTTGTTATGTAATTGATTGTGGGGGGTTGTAATAATTGTTTGCTATAAGGTGTGAATTAGGACTTCATTAGACACTGATTTAATAAATATGAACATACATATAAATTTATCTAGATAAGATAATAGATAATACTTCAAATATTTATCAAGATAATAGATAAAGATAACTACATTTCATATCCACAAAAAATAGATAATTTTTACTAAATTTTAAATTTGAGAAAAATCAAAATGGGATTTTTGATATAAATATAATAGTTACATACACTATATAATTGATAAATCGTATATACATTTGGAAATAGTTTCAAATGTTTTAATTATTGTTTGAATTTCAATTTTTATAGAACAATCAAAAAGTATGTATAAAGTTAACTTCGTATGAACTGTTTAACTGCAAAAGATTGAGAAATAAATTTTGAAAATCCTAATTTCGTATAACCAAGAAAATGATGAAGCTACTTTGGTCCTCGAATCGAGCGACATGATAGTATCTTGAGTACTTTTGCATACTTATAAGATCAAAATTAGAATAACCTGCACGTGATTTAAGCACGCGTCAATTCCCCTAACTACTACGATCGCCGTTGGAAATCAATATTTGTAATAAATATATTATACATGTACTCAATATCGCGTGGGTATAATGGTGTGTTATATACGTCCGGCCGAGAGCGCACACTTAATGCGGTTCGATTATCGCGCGCGGATGAACGGCGCGGTAACCGAACGGAAGAAAAACGCTTTTCTGCGCTGCCACCCCGGAGGTCCGGTCGGCACTAGCGCGTGTGGCTTCTAAGGGCGTGACTGAAGGGGTCGGTGTTCGACCCGACAAACGGCGTTTTTTCGTCCCGCTGCGTCAAGTGTGTGCGATCTCACACGACCGATTTTCAATTTTCTGTAACACACGTAAAAAAAAAAAAAAAACTATCGCATGCGCTCCCCCCCACTATACACACACACACACATACATACGCACGTCAAACGCTCCATCGGACATCATATATATATATATATATTGTATACCGTTATTAGACTGTGTATGTATTGAAATTTTCCGTAAGTGCACATACTATTGTACATTTTTTGTTTTTTAGCTCGTACTTGCAGCGACATAAACGCGTATAATAAATATTATGTAAATCGCGGGTCGTGGTCGCTGTTCGGTTTTATTACGGGGCGATGCTGCACGTGCGCGCATATGGGTACTTTATTCGAGGTAAATCGACCGCGACGATTACACCGTTATTAAAACGCTGTACTGCGACACAGCCGTGTTTTTTCATGCGTTTAAAAGGTCTGGCCAGACGATACCTTTATTTAAGGTTGAGTGAAATATCAAATATCGAAAGAAGAAAAAAAAAAGAGAGTTCTCGGTAAAATAGTTACTTTTATTATTCAAACATGTCTTATAGACATACAGAATACTTACTCAATAATTTTGAAATTAATAAAAAACACAATACTAAAAGACCGGTTGAAAAGACACATAAAAACAAATAAATTCAATAATTATATGATCAACACATAATGTCACATCAAATATTATAATATTTATCGAAGATTTAGATTTAAAATTTAAATTGGTTATACGCATACACATTTTTACGGATGAGCGTACACTCGCTATTACATTTTTATTTATTTATTGAAAAGTCAAAGTGTTCAAGTATTCAAATACTAATTATTTATTTATACTTAAAATAGTATTTATATTAATAAAACACCGTTAAAGATATATATTTTTATGTACGACACTTTCCAACCGTGATTTTATTATGTATTAATTTTTTGAGATTTTTAGCACAATTTTTTTCAGCATAAGTTGTTTGCTATCGATTTTTAATTTTTGAAACCGGCACTATTCCTATGTTGTTGCTGTCCAATTGCGCTCGAAATCGATGTATACAACAACTAGCTCTTTTGAAATTTCAAAATATTTCAAATTATAATGTATGCGATGAATGCTCACTATAAATCTTTATTTTCATTATACATTTTTTACGATAAGGCTTTACGCATATATTATTTTCTATAGTTTAAATTACTTAAGTTTGTTAACTTGAAAATTGGCCAATTACATGTACAATAGACGCTGCTTAGAAGACTCGCGTGGATATAAGATTTAGTCGCTCAATAGACTCAAAATCATTAGAACAGCCCGGATTTATCTAAACACATTATGAAAAATTCGGTTATAAGACTCACCATTTAGTTTATAAAAGTCAAATTTCGTAAAAGAAAAACGGAAGAAAATAAATATTTTAATGGTTTCGATTTCTTTAATTTTTTATTAATATGAAATAATTTTTATAATAATATAATTTTACTTGTTTTTTAATCATAATTTTTTTCATTTATTCATTAATAAGTAATATGTAATATCATTGAGTATATATAGTATATATACTCAATGATAATATGTATGTATTTAAGTAAATTAAAATAAAAGCAAAATAATAAAATAAAATTCATATGTATTTTGTTTTTTTTTCTACTTCACCTATAAGATTCATTTTGTGCTACTCCCTAATTAAGCCATATATAAGTGGTGTCCACTGTATTATAATAGTTCAGAAATTTTAAAGCAATGATAAATATTTTTAAATGATGTATGTATTTAATATGCATACTTGAAAGATAAGGACTAAAAATACCTAACTACGGTAAATACATGAAATAATTTGTTAGCAGTCTAGTCACTTATTATCTCTGTATTGACTTTTAATAATCATATTATATCGTAATATTTCAGTATAATAAACTACTATTATTTTTCACTAGGCGGGTATCAAAGGAATGAGGATAAATATAGTTAAAAATCTAAATCTTATTATTATGATTATCAACTAAAAATTACATAATATGTACTATGTCAGTAGTGAGATGTTATTTAAAGTGTCACCGACACGTTATGCTTATGCAGTTGTGTATATTGCCGATTATTTATCAAACAAATAAAAAATAAAATTTGGTTTTTGACACGTTCAAATGTTAAATTAAATCATAAACGTTAGATACGTATGCATGATTTCTTGACATTTTAACACATAATAATAGAGAACATAAAAATTAATTATTTCATTCTTCTATTGAAAATTAGTAATTAAAACAAAATATATCCTAAAAATATTCACGTCAATCCATGAAATATTTACATAGAACAAATTATGTTTCCATGTTGACCAAAAACCTACTACCTATAAAATTTAGTCAATTTTACTGTGCCAATATTTTCTTTTTCCTTTTGACTTATTTCTCTACTCATATCCTTTTATCCGATGTAATTTCCTCATTTTCTATTATGCTGGAGTGATCGTGTTATTTTGTCAATGAAAATATTTTCTCACCTCAGGCAGTTGGTATTTCCGGCCTACAGTCTGGAGTCTCGTTTATTTATTTTGTTAAGCCTTAAAATTTAAATAGATCTTATTAACGGACAATATAAATACGCATACAATTATATTATAGTATCACTTCTATTGCTCAAAATGCTTTTTAATTTAAAATACATTAAATAATATTGTAAGCTTAATTAATATTCATTTAAAATACAAATATATACGATTTATACCATATTATTATTATTAATATTATTACTATATATTTTATTTCAATTTATTATACAAAAAAATAAATAAATAAATAAGAATACAGAAAAAATAAATACAAATATACATAGATCACTTAATTGAAAAATGTAGAAATATAGTATTACTTATAGATTATGATATTTTATAAGTTCATTAAAACTTTTGATCAAACCCAGTTACAACTAAAGTACATGAAATTCATACATTTGCTTCATGTAAATTGTTTAAAAGTATGATTATTATCAATATTAATTCCTTTTCTTGTTATGTCAAATCTAGAACGTCAATAATAATATCACTGAATAAAAAAAACAAATAGTCTGTGATAATATTATATAAATATATTGATTGTAAATATAAAGTAATCAATAATTACTAGTATCATTGTCTATGTATGATCAATGGTACTACTAATATAAATACATTTTATATAAACTTTTTAAAGTTGCCTAATGTCGTTTAATTTTTAAGACAGAATAATTGTTTATACTAGCGCTTATTTCAATTTTTAAATTTCTATAGAAACTAATTATTATAAAATAATACGTGAAACATGTTTGGTTTTAAAATAAAAAAAAATTTATTGGTTTTAAAATGAAAATTGTTTTACGTAATTAAAACTTATTAATTGCAATAAATTGCAATGAATTATTATATTGAAGCGGAATGTTTACGCAGTTATAATGACTTAGTTGTTAATTATAATAAATTATTTAGTACAAATTCGTATTTAAAAAAAGAAAACAAACACTTACAAGTAAACATAAGAACACATTCAAAATTATTAGAAGACAGAAAATATCGGTAACATTATTGATGGATAACTAAATCTAATGTTTAATACATATATATAATTTATTACAGTATTTTTGATATAATCCAAAATCAAATCGAACGTGAAAAATGTTATATAGAACAAATTGAACGGTTAAAATGTAAATTGTGTACAAAAGGCAATGACATAAAGACGCTGAAACATAAACAGGACCTGAACAAGAAACAAATTGACAAATATCAGGCATGTTTATTTTATATTGTACATACATATTATAAGTAATCGGAAAAAAAGAATACAATTGTTGTTATGTTTAGAAAGAACTAAATTTGATTAAAGAAAAATACCAAAATCAACTTTGTAAAATCGTAAATACTTGTAAATGCTGTTCGAGTATTGATAACAAATCAGAAAAATCAACGGTAGATTCAACATGTTCATGTGAAGATAAGTTATCGGTAAATTCAAAATGTTCAAGTAAAGATAAAATATCAGTAAATTCAAAAAGCTCTTGTGATGATAAATTGCCGGTAGATTTGAAATATTCATGTAATGATAACTCAACAGAAAATGTTTGCGAGGTTAAAATCTATAGTGACGTGCAACAGTTACTGCTTGCTATTGATGCATACTGTAATTCAAAAACGTTATGTATTTCAATACTAATGTTATTAAAACAATCAAAGACGACTATAAGTAGTTTAATTGAAGATAATGATATCAGTAACAATGCTCTGAAACAATGTCAAAGTGACCTTGCTTGTTCTACGAACAAATTAAACGAACAACAAGACATGTTAGAAAAAAAAGATTCTGAGATATTTACAATGAGATCAGATTTTACTATTTTGATAGACGAATTAAAAGAAATATTAAAACAGAAATCAAATTTGGAGAACAAACTAAGTCAAGTAACAGAAGAATTGTCTTCCACGACTGAGAATCATGAACAATTATTACACAAATTTGAAGAGCAGAAAGAGGAATTAAACACTATGAAATCGTGTTCAAAGACAAAACTCTATGCTGATGAATGCATATCAAAAGAAGTCTGTGAAAAAACACAAATACTTTCAGACGATATTAAAATTATAGATGGATTGGAAAATAAATTACACAGTATGGAACAACAGTTAGAAGAAACAGAACATTTGAAAACAATTTGTGACAACCAATGTAAGGACCTATGTACACAAAATGAGGAATTGAAGAACAAATTAGAAATAGAAAAAAATAATAACATAAAATATGGTTATAACATTGAAAATCTCTGTAAACGAATTCTTAAATTTGAAGCCATAATTAAAGCTCTTGAGGTTCAAAACAAATTATATATAGTGGACATTTCTGAACTAAAGGAAAACAAATGTGTCGCAGAACAAAAGTTCAATGAAATAATAAATGAACTAAATTACACTATTGAACAACTAAAAAAGGAATTAGCTATTACTAAATTAAATTCTGAAGATTATGAAAAATGTTTAAAAAATTTGATCGAAGAAGAAAAAAAATATTCTGAACAAAAAATTAATTCATTAAACAATAATATTCAGAACTTAGAAACTGAACTTAAGTATTATAAATGTCAATATGATTCATTAATGACGAAAAACCTGTTAAACGAAAAAGAACTTTCGCAATTTATTGAGAAGATTCAACTGCTACAAGCTCGAGAATTTGAATTGAACAAGGAAAACGAAGAAAATAAAGAACGCGTATCAATGCTATGTGCAACTGTAGATGCTATGAAAATAGAACTAGAAGAAACAATACAGAAAAACAATGAACTAACTTCTCAAAATTGTAATTTAGAAGCGACAAACTTTGTGCACTGTGAAGATATTGATAAATTAAATAATACACTCGTCTGTGTGAGAAAAAATGAATTGTGTGCGCGAAAAGATTTGGTTGTATATAAAGAAGCACTAATGAAAGCGAACGAAGAAATTGCTAATTTAAATTCAGAAATTAATTGCATTAAAAATAAATTAGACATAACTTGTGTCAACTTGACTTGTACAGAACAAAAGCTACAAGACACTGAGTTAAAACTGAACGAAGAAATGTGTTTAAAAGAAAATATCAATGAAAAATATGGTACTATGGTTAAGTGTCTAACTACGAATTGTGACATGGAACAATCAATAAAACCAACTAATCTGAGATCCATCGAATGTCAGTACGAGATAAAAGACTGTTGCTGGTAATTTGCACATTATTATGTTGTTGTATTATATTAATTTTTACAGCACTAACTTTATAATTGACGTTTGGTACGAAAAGTAATTGATTATTTACGTAATTACATGTATCTATATAAATAATATACATTAATTATAAAATATTTATTTCTAATCAGTTTAGAAATACTAATAACTTAAAAAGATATTTTCTTTAATCGACATTAAACAATCAAATCATTAATTCGATAGTTTTGATAATCTTTGACAGTATCTTAAGTTCCACATAAACTTTAATTATATTATAACTTTGACTAATTATTTTTTAATCAATTATGTAGCAACCATTAACTATTTAATATTTTCAGTTTTACTGATGAAAACAACATGTCGTGTAATGTTACTAACGATGAAGTACAGACATTACATTATGAAAATACTTTCTCAACTATTGATTGTAAAATGAAAAAAGAATCTAATCATATAGGACTACAGACAAATTTGTGTTGTCCGGAAATTTGTCCACCTGTTTGTAAAACGGTATCATTGATTATTGAGCAATCTTGTCCAAACGATAATATTTTGTGCTGCCCCGAACCATGTGATGCCAATAAATGTGACCCATGTCAATGTGAATCAAATAACAGTTGTACATGTTCGTGTGAGCCACCACTCAAGACAGCATCACAATTAAATTGTCTTTCGAACGACTGTTTACGTTCTGAAGAATCAAAACTCACGACAACTTGCGATTGTATCACAGTTTTCTTGGAAAAAGAAAATTTAAAATGTCAACTAGACGAGTCAAAACAATTATTGAAACAGTATGAAAAAGACACCGAAAAAAAATTACATGACATCGAAGAAGAACGTTGTAAAAAAGAGCAGGATTTGAATAAATGTTTTGAAAAGGAAAAATCGGAATACCAAACAAATCTGGATAAAGTTACCGCTCAATTGAGAGCATGCAAAGAAACAATAGCGTGCAAGGAAAAAGAGTTGAAATGTTGTCAATCAAGAGGTATAGTAATAATATTAATGTTTACATAAAATGGTTTTAAAAATAATGCATCAGTGTGATAACATGTTTTGTATGTGTGATATTTTAATAGAAAATCAATTAAAAAAAAGATATAGAAAAACTAAAAGAAGCATTAAAATGCAAAGATAAAAAAATCAAAGACAGTGAAAGTCAAATGACTACGTTGAATGATTGTTTGGAAGAGTGCAAAAAACAATTTGTAACTCTTAAATGCTCATTAGAGTTGGAAAAAGCCACTAAATTAGAGTTGAATAAACAATTGGAATCATTGGAGTAAGAATACTGACATTTCGGCACGTTTGATAATTTCAAATAAGTGTCGATATGTTAGGGAATGATATAATATGTACTGAAATTTATTTGTTTTAAATAATTTTACGGTTACAGCGATCAACCCGAAAAGAAGACCGTAAAGAAGTTAAAACCATCTGAAAAATCTATAGTCAAGAACTATCGGAAAAGTGGGTCCGTACGGAAAAAGATATCTAAGAGTAGCGTTCATGAGCAAAAAAAGGTGATGACACCTTGTGAAATGAAAAGAATGAGGTCGGGAGCCGACCGCGAAACGGGATACGACTTTAGTGGAACTGAACTAAAGATGCGTACTTATCGTCGTCATTACACCGGCTATAAAGTATGTTTAACTGCAAATAGTTGTGGACGAAATTCCCCAGATTATTAAATTTTACATAATGGTTGTGAACATGTATTTTGATTTTCACGTACTAACTACGAACGAGAAGTTAACATCTCAAACTGTTTCTCAAAATATTTTCTCACAAAACTTTAAAATTGTTATTTAAATTATAGATACAATACAGATATAAATATTAATACAACGTACACTACACATCAATCTATGCTACCAATTTTACATAAATTAAATCAATAATATTAAAATTAGGTTTTAATTCTGGTGCAAGTATCTGTAGCAAAGCCAAATTTTTGCTTATATAAAATATAGCTATTTTTATATTTTGAAACCAACTTTGAATTATAAACACCGAATTAAATTGAAATTTTATTTAATTAAATAATTAATTAATGAACTTATTAAATTTGCTGGGTGAATTTAATTATACAAATTGAAAATATGATAAATAACACGTGTAATTTAGAGTTAAGAAATAATAATAGTTTTACATAGAATATAAAATATCTATACAGTATATACATTATATTTAGTCTAGTTATAATCTATTATACTCGGACGATTTTAACGAATTATTAAATATTCTTAAATAATATGTTATTAAATGCTGATGGAGCTATTATTCTTTGAAAATAAGAATATATATTCTAAAACCAATTTTCTAAATTTATATATTGAAAGTTTTCATTAAAATAGTTAATAATAAAAAAATATAGTTTTCATTAAAATAAAAAGTTTCTACCTAACCATAGGATCGTCTTTTTATAATACATAAATCTAAGTATTTAAAAATGTAATAAATTACTTTAATTTTACGGATCAAATTTATAATGAATATATTGTTAAAATGTAACATAGGCAGAACTTGCATAGCATCAAAATAGCTTAATTCTCAAACTATTTATGGTGCTGTTTAAGTGTATAAATTAATAGTTAAAAAAAAAAAAAAGTGTTAAATAAATTGTATGTCATATTTTAGCGTAGAAGTAATCAATTTTATATGATAAACGTACTGCCAATCACAAAAAAATATTTTAATTCTTTAAATATTACAACATTCATTTTTTATTTAAATTTAATTTCAAACTAGTTGTGGTAGATAGGTTTAACACTTAATATTCTATTAAAACGTAAAATAGTACTTTTATATGCGTGAGTTATTAGCAGATCGTACTATTAATCACTCGATCCGTTTTGACAGGACATTAGTCGCAGCTGTCCGGATGTTTGCAAGGATTCACAAGGACTCGGAAAAGGCGACCGGGTGACACACGAACTACCAATCGAATTCATCGAATCGTTGCGGCAACAAGTGCGACAAAATGTCGTCTGCGACAACACCAAATGTTTTACGATGGGATGCTGCTACAAATTCCGCTTCCGGCGTTAGGTACTTAGGCATATGTTATTCAGAATGTTAATTGATTGGGAAGTCAGTAAACACTCAAGATCTGGATTTAGTGTAAATGTTATAATGTAATGATTATATGATACGACCGGACCTATTTTAAAACGATATAATACATTAAATATTATTATGTTATACATTACGTTTAAACAAAAATACATACAAGAATATTCGCACTATTTTATTAAATGAAGTAATTTTCAAATTCGTTAGCACAATACTTATGTATGATATTTTATTCACGCAGAATGTACAATTAAGTATAAAACAGTGTACAATATACAGTCGTAGTTACACTTACAGCATAATTTTGGCATATTTATAATATTTGTTAAGTGAATGGTCTGCAAGGCAGGATGTATTTAATATACAAAAATAACGTTAAACTTTCAAATTTCAGAAAAATAAAAAAGAATTCTCGTTTAATGTCGTTTCTAAAAAAATGTAGCAACTTTTATTTATGGAATTGACAATTAGTAATATAAATATACGGATTCCCATCCAATTGTAAAAAAAAATATATAATAAATGACTTGGAACGATTAACTTATACGAGTACAAGCTGCAAAATCCGTGAAAAAGATTCCAAAACTATATTTTTTATATTATTTATAACAATAATTACGCGCAGTAATCTTAAATTATTTTTAACAGTAATTAATTATTATTTTCATCGAATACTTCCATCACACATGTACTTAATATTGTAATATGGTTTATTTAATAATATTGGTAATACTTTCTCACTGATGCTAACTAACATTGAACACCGCGATCAATATATTATTTATGATAAATATTATAACATAACCTATTATTACTGTTTAATGTATTTTTTACTATCAGAATTTTTATCCTCACTCTATATTGAATACTTTAACGCTGGACATAGCTTTGTTTATATCATATAAATTAATAAACTAAAATTACAAAGGTATTAGCTACACAACTTATTCGATATATTGATATATTGATCAGGTAACTCTAATGAACCATTCAGATTATTTGTTAACATCTAGCCCTGATAAAATAATATCTAATATTTTTAACGACTTAAATGGAAATGAACTGCTTCATTCAAAGTTACATGGTCGAGATTGCTCCGCCAATTTTTTTCTTTTTATTTAGTGTCACATTACTATTGTAAGTATATATTTATGTACTGTTTAAAGCGTTTGTATAGAATGCATTTTTAAAACAAAGATATTACATAAATTTAGATTTTATTTGATTACTAGAACTGTCTAGCCAAAATACAAATTTAGTATTTATTTATTTTTTTTTTTCATCATAAACTCGTATTTCTAAAGTTTAAATACTTTGATTTATACAATTTTAAAGTTGATTAGTTTTTTTAATTATAGACAGATATTTGTAAGCGAACTAGTTTAAAATATTATTATCTCTGTAATTTAGCTTATATCTACTTTTTGTACACACTCTATATACACCATTAGTCTAGAACTTCGAATCTAAAGCTTAAATTAAATTTAACAAATTATATGATTTAAAAATGTTTTTATAACAAATTATAGCGTCAGAAACGTGTGCTAGTAGCATAACGATACACAGTCATTGAACTCATTAAACTTTTAAAAAATACTAAGCAAGTAATTAGCATCATTTGCATGCTCATTTTCCAAATTTGTACAGTATTTTTTTTATGAGTTTATTATAAAAACTATGAGAGGGAGGATAGTAAAGTGTTCTATCACTTCTTCCTCTCATTAGTAGAATATTTCTACAAAAAAAATAATTGTAATTAAAAGTTGGTGCATTATTAAATATTAATATCATGAACTCACATGACTATTATTTAAGTTTTTTAAAAAAATAATTGTTTAGTAAGCTATAACGTACTTAGTATAAATTCACGTTTTAGCCTGACACGAAATAGTTGTATTAAAAATTCTCATTTATGACTTGTAATCAAATTAAAAATAGGCGTAGGAAGTTGAAAAGCTGACTATCTTTAGGAAATTGAAATTTGCTTTATTATTTAGTATTGCAGTGGTAAATTTGTTAATATCCAGGAGGAAACCAAAGTGAATAAAAGTCAGTGCTGAACAATCAAAAATACTTAAATAAAAATAAATTGCTTTAAAAAAGCTTTTAATAAAAACGTCAGTCAAAAAGTAGTATTTTAATATAAAACGAGAAACATGAAAATATTGGTTTTTATTTATTAAAAATGGAGAAATTATTTGAAACTTGACACAGGTGTTTCTAGTTTACACCACTATAGTGGGAATAAATTATAATAAATATTTTTGCTTAAGTGAAGAAAATTTTAACAAAAACTATATTTTTGTAAGCATTCTTAATATTCATTGCTTCCCAATAAATTAATAATCGTTTTATACCTGATAAATTGATAATGAATAACGATTTAAGATGTCAGATATAATGTATAAAAAATATATTATGTTATATATGTATTGGAGTTTGAAAAAATACATCAATACCTATCAGTTAAAGTAAATTGTTTTTTTTTTTTTAACGTTTTAATCTTACATCTTTATAATTTATTTTTTTTTATTATTATTATGTATATTTTTAATATTTAAAACTCTACAGATAGAGATTATTCAAGTATTGTGAAAAAACAATAGAAAATCGTGCAGATAATAATTTTTCTCGAGGGTGCAATAACCAACAGCAAAAAATAAGGGACGGGTCGATTAAAAAGTGTGCGTTATTTAAAAACATTCCCAAGGATGTGCATATTATACATTGCACTGAATATCATCAAAATGAATACTGCTTATTTCCATGTTATATTGAAAAGGGCATCTGCATTTCAAATTTACTGATATGTTATCTATATAATATATGTACGCTTATTGCGTCTATGTATAATATTTTTGTTCTGATAAACAAGTTATTTTTTGTTAAAGAAGAAGGTGCTTCGCGTGGTTTGATCGGTTTTAAATAGGTATGCCAATATAAAACACAATAAAGTGAGTTTTTCGTTAAACACTTTTTATTAAAATCTATAAAAACACCAGGGTCTTGTAATTTAGTAACATTTAAGATATACACATTTATATATTAATAACAACGATTGCATGAAATGCATGGTTGAGTTTTAAAAATTAAATACTTTGGTAAAAATAGTGTAATAAAATAATTGAGTGTGGAGTATATTTTATAACATCACGAGTAAAAAAAAAAAAAAAATATATATATAGTAAATAATATGATATATATTACTTACAATACATTTTTCATTTTTCATTGACTCAAATTAATAACAATAATAACAAAATTAAATACTTTTAAATGAAATTATAGCTTTCACTAGTCACGTAAAAATTTAATAAATAATTATTAACAATGAACTTTATAAGTAGGAATTCAGGTATTAAAGTGTTAGATAGTCTTTTGCAAAATGTAAAAACCGTTCGCTCACGAAATTAAATCAAAAGGAAACGTTACCACCATTATTTATTTGAAATTTTATCATAGTTATATTTTAACATAGTTCTATTTCTACATTCGTGTTTTTTTATTTTTATTATTATTGTTATTATTATTATTAGATCTAGATTTTATAAACCCGGCTAGGGTTTACAAAAAAACATCGGCTCAGCCTAGCCTTTTAAAAATCGCTTTCTGCATCCTACGGAGTCTTGTGTAAAATAAGTCCAGCCAAGCTTTAAGCAATGTTTGTTCTAGTCTAAGCGTAGTCGGGTATAGATATATCCGGGCTAGGTCCATCCTTTATAGGGTTTTTAATATTTACCGTATCTAGACTGTATAAATCAGACGGGGTTGCAACACAATATCATGAAAAAAATATGGAAAATGAGCTACATGTATTTTTCCTTATCCGTACTTGTTGATATTAAGTTTTTATGACACGCGATCAAACCCCATGTTAAATATGTTTCAATTACTTTTATGTATTTAGAAAAAAAAATGATTTAAGATATATTAAGTTTTTAGGTTAAAAATACACGAATACGATATAATAAACAAAATAAGACTATATGTTTTATGATTTGAGGTGGACACACAATCATATCAACTATAATATATACCTACCTATAATACATATAATGATATAATACATAATATAAGTTTTAACTTTTGATTTATATTAATACTGATAGTTTAACATATTGAAATTGTTTACACATAGTTATATTAAACAAACAAAAATAAATACCATAATTATAATTTGCATAATGAGATTAGTTTAAAAAAATAATAATAATTTTAACTATGGTAAAATGATTTTTGTTTAAATTTTTAGCTGTTAAACTATGTCTTAACATTAATATATTTTCTACAGTTAAATGGTAATGTCGTTTAATTTTTTTCAAAACTCAACATTTCATTTGATGTCACATAATAATAGCATATATCAATAACAATAAGTAAAAATATAAATATTAAATACGCGAACATTGAAATATCAGTTTTTAAGAATTATTTACCTTTTTACAATAGGTACACTGATTTTGTAAAGACTCTGTTTTCGTATAATATCATGTCATCATCTCGTATAAATTGTTCTGTTAATATTTGATATGGCTTTAGACCTTTCAATAAAACGATGTTTTTCGTTTGAACGAAATTTCATCGAAAATGTGCTTTATACTGGAATACTTTCAATTTAACGGCGAAATGACAATATAATGGATGTGCATTGTATCTGTATATAAATGAAATACTTTTGCTAGATCAAAGATGGCAAATTGATAGCATTTACTGTGTTCATTAATGCACGAAAAAAAAAAAAACATATTATTTGATATCACAAACAGTCTGTTTGAATTCAAAAAAAAATATTTTATACGATTTTATATTATTATTATTTTTATTATTATTTTTTTTTTTTTTTATATCGACTGTAGAGTGGAAATAACAAAAAACCTCTGGTATACCGTGGTAAGATATTATGTTGCCATATATTTTAATAGAACGAAATAATTCTAAATAATTTTAGTTTGTATTTATGTATATACATATATATA